AGCGTCCAGCTGAGGCTGATGGGAACGTCATCAGTTCTGCAGGTTTTTGGTCACAAACCAAAGTGTTGGACACGTTAACATGTTGACCTGATGATGGCGCTAGATGAAGAGTTAGTAGAGCTCATCCTGCGGGGAACATGAAGGTCTGAACCACACTTCATCACCACCCATCCAACAGCTGCTGAGATGTTTCACTAGAAACCACAGATGGGAACCTCACGGTGGTGCAGGAGGGAAAATCAGGAGATCACCAGTCAGGTGGGACGAACGACATTACATCACTATGGTAACGGCAATTTAAGGTCCCACTGTGTCTTGTTTTAGTGTTATTCAGGACTGTGGCCACGATTTAAGAAGGAGGAGTCCAAATGTCACCTTAAACATCCCAACCCCTCTAATATGTTTTGGATCGTACACCAACCAAACTCTGCATGATTTTCCTGCATATGTTAAAACATTACATAGAACATTTTAGTAAACTTTAATGTCCTCCATCATGAGCTCAATGTAATGTTGTTTCAAACTTTCTCTGCTCTGCCAGATGTTTAATCTTGTTGGAAATACTGCATCACTTCCGTTGGTTCTTTGTTTTTTTGTTCCCAGAACTCTTAAGTTTAACACTAAAACCAAAATATGATGATGAAATATGTAAAATTTATGCCACTGTTGAATGGAAACTACCCTTCATGTCTTTAAACCTGCCAAAACACCCAGAAAGTTTACAGGCGGCGTGCCCTCAGAGGCCTCCATGATGTACTGGTGTTAATAAAGTTTGAGAATGACTTTGTTTCAGGTGCACACAGACCTTTAAGATCTTGGGATAAGATTTGGTCAAGAATTCCCGTCATTCAATTCTACTTTGAAGAGTTTGGATTCTTTTACTGCCATCTTGGTTGAAGATACTGGAAGACGTTTCGTCCCTCATCCAAAGGACTTCTTCAGTTCTGACTGACTGGCAGGGAAACTCAGCTATTTAACTCCACTGAGGTTAAATAAAAACTATGACCTGGATGACTGAGAATCTTCATAGACACTGCAGGTTTCAGCTCTGACACTCAGTACAAACACAGTTTAGTGCTGTAATATTGTTCATAAACACTTTAATGAGTCAGCAGAGCTTCACGGCTGCACGCGGAAGCAGAAAGGTTTGAAAGCTGTTCCTGGAGGCCTGAGTTTCGACCGCTTTAGTTACTCATTAACTGCTTTCCTGTGAAAGAGCTTCTAACCGTCAGTGAGGCCTTCACGTCAGTGTGTTTTTCTTATCAGGCAGCCGCCGGCCTTCCCACCTTCAAATGTCCGACCTGTTTTTTTTTTCAGATGCAGCACCTGACATCTTCCCACCGACAAAAACACAACGAGTCCTGCAGGGACGTTTTTAACAGCTCATTATTTTCTGCTATAACTATAACTGCTCCCGCCACTCATTCCCAACAGATCGTGAACAAATGACATCATTATAGACAATATTTCCTTTTTTATTAAATACTATTATATTTAAAGTACATTATTTAGTTTAGTCCTGGAGTATTTATTTATTCATAAATACTTCTTCACTCTTAGAACAGCCAAACAAACTCCATCCGCTGATGAGAAACGTGACTGAAACAGAAATCTACTGACCAGAAGTTCATTTTTTATCAAATTATTCCAAAGTCAACCTTGAACTCAACGTGGCTTCTTGAGTTCTGAACACATGTATGAACAGATTTAACCTCACACGTGAAGGTTAGGTTAGGTTAACTTTATTGTCCCCGAGGGGAAATTCTGCTTGAGAACGGTGCAGAGTTGCTTCCTAAAAAACATCACAAAAGACATCACACATCAGAAAACACATCGACAAGAACCTGAGAAGCATCAACATGTTGCACTTCACAAGAGGAAAATATAAACACAGAAGAAAAAGGACATTGTTGACAACACAGTTCCATGGATTAAAGCGCTGAAGTGCCAGTGTGGTTGTTCCATTGCTCCATTGAACTGAAGTTTGTGTAAAGTGCATGTGCGAAGGTGCTAGTATGTTTATTTCATATACGATGACTCTCTCTGAGACTGCATGGTAGAACATCATCATGATCTGACTGCTCACCCCGTACATCCTTAGACACCTTTAAAAATAAAGCCTCTGCTGCAGTTTGTTACACAGGTTTGTTGACACCTAAAGATTTGTATGAGGACATCTGAGTTACTTGCTGGTTTTAAAATGAGATGGTTGGTTTCACACCATTTAACAAATGTGTCTGTTTCGTCTTGGTACAAATAGGATCGCGGTATCATCGGCAAATTTCATTCTATAGTTGTTAGGATGTACATTCCTACAGTCACTGGTGTACAATGTGAGGAGTATCCCTGTGAAACGTCTGTGTTACAGTATTTGGTCTTGGATAGCGTCCCGTTGACCTTCACTTGCTGTGCCCTGTCAGTTAAAAAAGAATAAAACCATTTAATCAAGATAGTATTTTTTAAGCTTCTCTAAAAGCACCTGAGTTTGCACTGTATTAAAGGATGAACTAAATTCAACAAACAGGATTCCAGCATAAGCTTCTCTGTTTTCAAGGTGCTTAGAAATAAAGTGCGAGATGCAAAGGATTGCGTCATCAGTTCCTTCATCCTTTTCAATTTTTCAAAACATTTCATTACAATCGAGGTTAGAGCTATGGGCCGAACGTCATTATTCTCTGAGGCGCCTGGTTTTTTAGGCAGTTATAGCTGATTTCTTCCACAGAGCTGGGACAGTGTGAAGATTCAATGACTGTTGGAAAACAGGGCACCGTACCATTGTTAGTTCTTCTGCACAGCTTTTGAGCAGAAAGGCTGGGAGGCCATCGGGGCCTGTGGCCTTGCCCGTGCACACTTTGCTGAAGAGTCGCTGGATGCCAAATGGGTCCACTTCCAGATAGCAGGTAGTGTGAGTGGCTGGCAGCGACTGCAGAACACTGTCACACTCCTGAGAGAAACTTTGGGAGTCAAATCGCAGCTAAAAGTAGAGTAGTAGAGCTCATTTGATGTTCACGGAACAGTGTGATGATTTGTTGTTTTAGTCGCTGATTTCATTGTGTCCCAAGGTTTTTTGGTATTTGAAGTTTGGAAGTTTTGTTCCATGGTTTGCCTGTGTTTCTCCCTCACATTAGTAAGGAGTTGTTTAAGTTCTTTTTGGGCTGAAAAGACTGGAAAGGCACTATACAAATACGGAGCATTTACATTAAGTCTAATGTTCGTTAGGCTTTGTAATGGTTATTAGTAAAATTAGTAAACTAACATGCAGTATACTGTGCACACTATGCACTTGCATAGTGCGTGAATTTCAGGGTAGTGTTGTCTCAAATCAAACAGGGCCTTTGTGCACTAACCGGAAATGAAGATCGCAAGATTTATCCGCTTCTTCTTATTGCAGATCCTTATCTGCAACATTTGACTGTGGTTGTTTGTTTGTGGCCAAAATTTCTGCTGGCTTGTTTTTCTCGCTTGACTTCAATAAAATTTTATTAAAAGTAAATAAAAACAATCATACTTTTACGAGATCGCAGACGCTGCAGCTTCCTCGGCCGCCATTTTCACAAGTTTGTGGTCCCTCCCCTTCTGCTACGTAGCCAAGGTGGCGACCGCTGAGGGTGAGAAGTGTCCAGCACCATCAGCGTACTCATAGCGCACGCCATCGTATTTCACCACGGCACCACGTAAATGTAGAAACAACAGAGCAGCTGTTTTATGCTTGTGACACGATCCAAATGAAGGGAAATTCCTGCACCATCGGCTCCAAATCCAACTAGGGTGGACTGCCCTAAAGGGCAACACCTAAGGTCTTGTGTTTGTAGGTCCCCCATAAATACAGGAATGCCAGTGAAACTTGTGTAAAGACCACCCAATTGTCAGTGACATAGAGGTTTGACAAACTAATTAATTTTAAATAAAACAATCCTACTATTTTTTGGTCTATTGTGCTTATAAAATGTTTGTCCATCAGAAAATAATATAACTTTGTATATTTAAGCTAAATATTTTACATTATTATCAAATTTCCACTTTAGGAAATGTGGTTTCGAAAGTGGCACAGTTGTAAAGTACTTCAGTCACTCAAAAAAGTGTAGTGGGCCACGGTTTGTGAGACAAAAAGTTTATTTTTACAGGGTTTTAGTGGCACTATTAGAATGCTGTACTATATGTTTAAGGTCATGAGAAATTGTTATTCTTTGGGGGATGGCGGTTTGAAGGCTTTTTGTGGTTGTGTGTGTGTGACAGGAGTAGGTGTCTTAAAATGAAAAAAATAACAAATAAACCCAGTCCACTTAATTTTAGGCATCTAATGATTAATTCATTTAAATGTATTTTGAAATGGCAAAGCAGAGAAAGACACGGAGAGATTTTCAGACGCAGAGTGAGAGACAGAATCAGGGATGAAAGGCATTGTTTGTGTTTGTTGTGAAGTAAAATAAAATAAATCAGGAATTCTGATTGTGCATTTAACTCTTTTCTATCTGCATGACAAAACTCAGGCCTGTTATAACAGCTGCTTAATTTCAAACTATCATATTATTTGTTGATGTTCAGTTATCAATGTTTCATTCATACATAGCCTAACCAACAGAATTACTGACTTAAGAATGTTTTTATATTCTACGTGAATTAAGGTGATTTTTTATGATAGACGTTTCCACATTAGGAAAGTCGCTGATTGTCTCAAACATTTTGCACTAAAAGCACCAATATGTCTGTCATTTCCTTTGGAATGTGTTATCTGCATTTTCTCTTTGATTTGGACACATCCTGAGGTTTTTAAAAGGGTATTGGGTGTTTATCATCGCAACATGCCACATAAGTCTGAAAAACAAAAAATGTCCCACACTAGGGCAATTCACTCTATTTATTTCTTCTCTTTCAAATCCATCCAGTTCGGAGGAATCATGAAGAACAAGCGCTGTGAATTTCTAGTTAACAACATCATCAGAACTTAATACAATCCGTGTTTTTCACCGAGGTGAAGGAAAGGTGTGTAAGAAGAGTGTTTGAACGCGGCTCGACTCTCCTCCTCTTCCCGTCTGTAAGTTTCACTTTCACTCTCGTTGTGTCGCAGTTTCTCTCCCTTCAGACGAAAAAAGGTAAATTTGTTGTTTTCATGTTAGTTATTAATGTCGGATGTGTCTCTCTCTTCTTTTAAAAGGCTCGTGTCTCTGAATGTTTCTGCTTTTCCTTTCTTTAACTCAGTCTGGGTGTAAGAACAGTTAGAAAGTGTGCGGAGGTTGTTTGTGGAGGATCACCCGCTCGGCCCTGCGGTGTTGGTTTTTTTAGCCTTAGACGTTTTAAACGGTGAAAACCGGATTGACCGGTGAAACTGACGCCTGCTGACGGTCAGTACTGTGTGCGGAAGTGTTACAGCTGTTTGTTTGTTTGGCAGAAAATAATCGACTTAAAGTCAAATAACCGTTATTTATCTCAGAACACGCCTAATGGCGGAAGGCCCGACTGCGTTTTTTTTTATTTTTTTTTTTTTTTTTACTTTATTGCTTCATTACAACATACAAACAGCAGTCCTATGTATCGCGACAGGCCTATGACTTAACTTAGCAGGGGAATAAACCTAGTTAAAAAAAGACCAACAAAGATAAACAAATAATTAAGAAAAGAAACCGGTGTTAAAATTCTACAATTATATTGTGTAAAGTTCATAGTTTTACAGTTTTGATGGCTTTCTCATTTTGGGATGAGGTTATTGTTTTAATATAGGCTTAATTCTTAAGTACAGTTAATATTGGTTTAGCTAAGGTGAATACATTTGTAGATATAAAACTTAACAAAAATGATTATTAGATTAGTCAAAAAGCGTTTGTCTTTCAACATAAATAAAACCAGAAATTACATTATTATACATTTGTCCAAAATCCCAGTAAATATAATCAAGCACAAATCTACAGACATCTTTTCCAATGAAGATCACAGGAGGAACACATGGTGTCCAACATATGCTTTTTAAATTAAAAAGGATTTTACAAGTTAGAAACGATGCAATATCCTAAAGGGAGTTTCCCTGACTTTATTCACTAACATATGTGTGAAAGAGGGCACACTTCCTTCCAGCATATATCCCAAAGATAAATATTCCAGCGGTGTGCTGTTTGTGTCAATGTGCTCCTCTTGGCTCCATCTGGGGGACTGACAGCAGAACTACATCAGCTGATGAGTGCTAAACTTAGTGTTTTTATCACAGAGTCTGGTTACAAGTGACAGGGCTATAAAGGCTGTTTGTGGATAACAAAACAAAAGGTCTGTCTCTTTAGGGATATTTTACATAATGTTATCAAACACTGAACAACATTCTGATTCATTGGCAAAAACAAGCACTTTAGTGTTTCCAAGGATTACATTGCATTCATTGCGACATCTAACACGGTGAATTAAGGTTTTATTTTGAGCAAAAGTCAGTGAAAAGACGGTTTGGTGAGTTTCATTTTGTTTCTGTTCAGTTTGAATGAAGTGTATTTTAGGCTGAGCTGCAAGGTAAAATTATTGTTTTTCTCAATGGAGTCTGGTGTGCCAAATAGGGCTGCAAATAACCATTGTTTTAATTTTCGATTAATCTGTTGATTATTTCCTCGATTAATTGATAAGTTGTTTGGTCATATAATGGTGAATAATGTCGATCATTGTTTTGCAAATCCCAAGATGGCGTCCTCAAATGTCTTGTTTTGTCCATAACTCAAATATATTCATTTTATTGTCACAGAGGAGCAACCAGGAGAAAACCAGAAAAACGTTCACATTTTTCCTTTAAAGATTACTCCAACTAATGAATCAATTCTCAAAATAACTAATTGATTAATCCTTGCAGCTCTTGTGCCAGAATGCCCAGCAGTTTTGGTCTAAGATGCTCCTTTTAAATATCCAGAAAGTACCTTTGAAAAAAAAGGCTGATATTCCACTGCAGCTGAAACTGTCAACAAGTCATTTAAACTGTCAGATTTGCGTAATTGTGTGAATTTGGTGTCAGAAAGGTTCATGAGTTTCTTCAGTCAGAGCTCTGTATGTTTGTCATGTGACTGAGAGGAACGATGATAAATAATGACAGCATGTTGTTGTGTTTGTGTGAAGATGAGCGCTTTGCTATCCAGCTATGAATCAGTGTGAGGAGACGGAGGAGGGAGTCCCTCCCTCTAAAAGCACTCTGTGGGGGGAACATGGCAGCCAGACCAAAGCTCAAAGGTGAGATGAGGATCTCTAACTGTCCATGACTCTTCTCCATGACAGAGCTCAGATCTCTCCACCATCATTATTCACACTCAAATCTCTGTGTGTGTTGTGTTGAAGCCCAGAGAAGCAGCAGAGACCAGACTCTCCTGTTCCCAGCTGTGTGTCCATGAAGAGCCACCAGTCCATAATCGAACCTTATAACTTCAAAGGGGGACGGCACTCTGATGAAGACAGGTAAGACTCTAAACCAGGTTAAGTTTGTTATTCTGCAGCTCACCTTCTGTCAAGTCACGACACAAAAGATTGTGCAGGTCAGGATAGCAGAACCACCAACACTCAGAGCAGAGGACTCACTGTCTGCTGGCTAGCTGGACGACACGGGGAGGTGCAAATTCAACATTCAAATGTCTGTTTTTATCAGGGTTCATCAGCAGAGACCAGACTCTCCTGGACCCAGCTGTGTGTCCATGAAGAGTGACCAGTCCATAATTGAACCTTATAACTTCAGAGATGGACAGCACTCTGCTGAAGAAAGGTAAGGACATGAGTCAAAAGACATCAACTGTGTGGCACTAGACAAAGGGAATAGACTTAAATACATAGAATCTGTCTATCACAGTTATCCAAAGCGTGCAGCACAGGAATACAAGGGATAGGATCCAATTCCAGACAACTGAGGCAGAGCAGATGCAGTTCAATTAAACAATGAAACCAGGGGAATAACTTTCAGATTACCGATAAGGCAGGCGGAGATCTGAGGGTTTGTCTCTGTTTCTATCAGGGTTCATCAGCAGAGACCAGACTCTCCTGTTCCCAGCTGTGTGTCCATGAAGAGTGACCAGTCCATAATTGAACCTTATAACTTCAAAGGGGGACGGCACTCTGATGAAGACAGGTAAGACTTTAAACCAGGAGAGCAGGTTTTAGCTTTCAGTACTGAAGGTTGGATTCCTAAAAACCTTTAAATCCTAAAACAACTAATACATTAATCAACTGATCACTTTAAGGTCAATTAATCGACATACCTTTGCCACATATGCAATATTAAATTATAATGAATAAATAACTAATAATAATAACTAAGTATAATATTTTTGTCTTTATCTGCTTTGTGTGACCTGTGTAAATAACTGAGTATGTTTTAGGTCATATATGTGCAGGTAAATTGTTAGCGGTGGCGGGTGAAGGTTGCGGGCCATCCGTCACTTTGGCGGACAGGAAAAATACAGAACAGAAAGACACGTGTAGTACGGTTAGCGTATTGTGGCGATCGGCGCACAGGATGTGTCACACAGCCAGCAGTCAGCTCAGGGAAAATATCTGTGACGGTGTTTCAAACCAAACTCACCATTCTGGAAGAAGCCCAGTCTGTCCTGAGTTACAGCCAAGGCGCTGCTTACCAGCAGCATTGACCAGGGGTTCCGGTGTTGTTGGAGAATTACCAAGCTTGTCTGTTAGACGCACGAGGGGTCACTTGGTTTTATTTTTGTTGGCCAACTTGTATTGAACCTAAATCTGTTTTTGTTGAGAGATGGACTCTTGTGGAGATTTGAACGGAGATAAGGACTAATTGGCTTTTAACTGATTATAGTTATTCTTTTGCTTTTATCTATTTTATACTAGTATTTATTTCATACTGTAGCCCTGGCGGCTACCCTTTCCCAGTTTTAATACCTATATCTGTTTTTGTGCTTGTGGATCATTTGCATGTCGCTGTATTGTGTGTTTTATTCATTTATTTATGTACTTCTTTTTACTGAAAGAGTTGGTATTATGCTGATTTTATGTATGAAAGGTGCTATACCATTAAAGATTATTATTATTATTGTTTATATTAATTGGTGGTGGAACCGTGGGTTATATATTGAGCGCTTACTGCAAAATAAACTGCGGTGAACTTCGTTTTTCCTGTTGTCGGTAGGTAGGCCTACCTGATGATATTATATGATATTATTTAACGCCATGACTTGACACTCAAATTATCTTTCACTGAAATTAATATAATTTGATACTTCTTTTCCACCATTGCTCATTATAATAATTCATGCATCACCTAATTTCATTATAATATATAGGCCTGGCATACAGGAAAGAACAGTATGTTTAATCTATCTAATGTTGTGTTGGTCATGATAAACATTGTTTTGAATAATATAGAAAATTAAGAGCTTAAAAGATAATAAAAATCACAATCGCAATATTTATTATTTTCCAAAATTGATCAGCCCTAAATTTCGAGGTACTCCCAGGTCGAATGAGATATGTAAACCTTCCTGTGTGTTATTGATCTATCCAGCAGTCTCAGAGTTTGACGTACCTCAAATACCTCAAGGAGGTAATGACTTAAAAACTTCAACTTCCAAAGCAAAGGAAGAGCAGTTTTACTCCATACTCCTTTTAGATATCTGAGCTCCTCATCCTGTCGAGCCTAACCGTGTTTGGAGAGAAACTCATTTAAGCCATTTGTATCTCATCCTTTCTGTCATAACCCAGAACAATAATGACCCTACGTAAGGGTTTGGAACCCGATTAATTGAGGGCTTCATCCTCAGGCTCAGTTTCCTCCTCCCCAATCTGTCAACCTCATGCCCCATTTTACCCCCTTTGTTGACAAGTCCCCAAGATACTTGAATTCCTTCCCTTGCGACAGTAACTTTCTCTGAAATTGAAGATTCATTTCCACCACTGGAAGTTTGTCTGAATATATTGTTTGTGAGGTGACCTTGGGTGTTATGAAAGGCACCATTAAATAAAATGCATTATTATTATTATTCAGTTTTCCATGACGTTCAGAGGAACATGGTTGAAAATCAAAGTATTTTGGGGCCAATTAGATACTGTCTCACAAATGACAGTGAGCTGCTTACATCAACCTGAATGTGTCATCTTTGATACACAAAAACTGTATCTCCTAATCCACGAAATGCAACAAATGCAAAAATGTCTATCTGTCGATATTTGGAATCATTTTACTTTTGTTTTCTCCCCAGAGTCCAGAGGGTTCCTGGTGGTCAGTCTGTCCAGCAGCATCCTACAGACCTGGACTCCATATTTATGGTGCGTAAATAGCAACATCTATAAACAACAACTTTTCTTTCTGCTGCAAATGAAATGAAAAACGTAACTTAAAGTTTTATTATTTTCCAGCATCTGGAGGAAAACATTTTAACTTTTATGAAGAACGAGTTGAAGAAGGCCCAGAAGGTTCTGAGTACAAATTACCCAGAATGCTTGGAGAGACACAGTGAGGATAAGGAGGCAGTGGACGGTGAGGAGAAAGAGCAGAGGAGAATCAGCAGAGAGGCATTTCTGAAGATCACACTGCACTTCCTGAGGAGAATGAAGCAGGATGAGCTGGCTGATCGTCTGCAGAGCAGTAAGAGGATTTTCCACACAAGACATTTCTCATTTTGACGCTAACATCCACTCACGTCTGTTTTTTTTCCTTTCAGGAACTGTTGCTGCAGTTTGTCGACTTAAACTCAAGTCTCACCTACAGAAGAAGTGTCAGTCTGTGTTTGAGGGGATTGCTAAAGCAGGAAACCCAACCCTTCTGAACCAGATCTACACAGAGCTCTACATCACAGAGGGAGGGACTGCATATGTCAATGAAGAACATGAGGTCAGACAGATTGAAACAGCATCCAGGAAACCAGACAGACCAGAAACAACCATCAGACAAGAAGACATCTTTAAAGCCTCACCTGGAAGAGATGAACCAATCAGAACAGTGATGACAAAGGGAGTGGCTGGCATTGGGAAAACAGTCTTAACACAGAAGTTCACTCTGGACTGGGCTGAAGACAAAGCCAACCAGGACATACAGTTCACATTTCCATTCACTTTCAGAGAGCTGAATGTGCTGAAAGAGAAAAAGTACAGCTTGGTGGAACTTGTTCATCACTTCTTTCCTGAAACCAAAGAAGCAGGAATCTGCAGCTTTGAAGAGTTCCAGGTTGTGTTCATCTTTGACGGTCTGGATGAGTGTCGACTTCCTCTGGACTTCCACAACAATGAGGTCCTGACTGATGTTACAGAGTCCACCTCAGTGGATGTGCTGCTGACAAACCTCATCAGGGGGAACCTGCTTCCCTCTGCTCGCCTCTGGATAACCACACGACCTGCAGCAGCCAATCAGATCCCTCCTGAGTGTGTTGACGTGGTGACAGAGGTCAGAGGGTTCACTGACCCACAGAAGGAGGAGTACTTCAGGAAGAGATTCAGAGATGAGGAGCAGGCCAGCAGAATCATCTCCCACATCAAGACATCACGAAGCCTCCACATCATGTGCCACATCCCAGTCTTCTGCTGGATCACTGCTACAGTTCTGGAGGAGGTGTTGAAGACCAGAGAGGGAGGAGAGCTGCCCAAGACCCTGACTGAGATGTACATCCACTTCCTGGTAGTTCAGTCCAAACAGAAGAACATCAAGTATGATGGAGGAGCTGAGACAGATCCACACTGGAGTCCAGAGAGCAGGAAGATGATTGAGTCTCTGGGAAAACTGGCTTTTGAGCAGCTGCAGAAAGGCAACCTGATCTTCTTTGAATTAGACCTGACAGAGTGTGGCATCGATGTCAGAGCAGCCTCAGTGTACTCAGGAGTGTTCACACAGATCTTTAAAGAGGAGAGAGGGCTGTACCAGGACAAGGTGTACTGCTTCGTCCATCTGAGCGTTCAGGAGTTTCTGGCTGCTCTTTATGTCCATCTGACCTTGAACTCTGGTGTCAATCTGCTGGCAGAAGAACAACCAACCTCCTGGCGGTGGTGGCGGTTTGGAAACAAATCTCAACCAACACTTCTCTACCAGAGTGCTGTGGACCAGGCCTTACAGAGTACAAATGGACACCTGGACTTGTTCCTTCGCTTCCTCCTGGGTCTTTCTCTGAAGACCAATCAGACTCTCCTACGAGGCCTGTTGACACACACAGGAAGCATATCAGAGACCAGTCAGGAAACAGTTGAGTACATCAAAGAGAAGATAAGCGAGAATCTGTCTACAGAGAAAAGCATCAATCTCTTCCACTGTCTGAATGAACTGAAGGACCGTTCTCTAGTGGAGCAGATCCAACAGTTCCTGAGTTCAGGAAGTCTCTCCACAGATAAACTGTCTCCATCTCAGTGGTCAGCTCTGGTCTTCATCTTACTGTCATCAGAAAAAGATCTGGATGTGTTTGACCTGAAGAAATACTCTGCTTCAGAGGAGGCTCTTCTGAGGCTGCTGCCAGTGGTCAAAGCCTCCAACAAAGCTCTGTAAGTGCACAGATAATGGAGATACTGACTGTATCACATGTTCTCAGTTAATGAATGTCTTAGTTGGCTAAATCTTGTGACTATCAGCTGACAAATTGATTAGTTCATCAATTGAAAAACACATCAAATTGTCTGTTAGTTTTAGTGTACCTTGATAAATTAGTACAGAAATAAAAAAAGCTACAATTAATATATGTTCTTGGGATCCCAGTGTTATGGCCATCTGTTTAGAAATTGTAATTAACTGCTGTTAGATCCCAAGAAGACTCAATAGGAAACACAAAGAATCCCGTCACATGACATTGAGAGTTAATGTCTGTAGAAAAATTTGTTCCCAGCATTTGTAGGATTTAACAGTGTAAACTTGTGGTACCACTTTGTGGGAATGACTATCTTAGAGAATTTATATTTTATTTTAATTCTGCTGCAACGGTGATGAACATCAAAAGCTAAAAGCTACTCCATTAATTTTTTTCATTAACAATGGATCAAATTAAAAAATCTTCTCGTCACTTGTGATTCTAATGCTTGTGATTTAAGGGCAACCATAGAAATGTGATGTATTGTACGTGGTAAACAAGAGAAACATTATCAGTTCTTGTCTGTATCACTAACTCTGCTTCAGGCTGAGTTGCTGTAATCTGTCGGAGAGAAGCTGTGAAGCTCTGTCCTCAGTTCTCAGCTCCCAGTCTTCTAGTCTGACAGAGCTAGACCTGAGTAACAACGACCTGCAGGATTCAGGACTGAAGCTACTCTCTGCTGGACTGGAAAGTCCCCATTGTAAACTGGAGACTCTCAGGTCAGGATTCAACTTCTATTTCCCTAAATGTTGCTTGACATACAAGTTAAAGTTTGTAGAAAAACATTTCCTGCATATGTTGGATTTAACAGTTTACATTTTACTCATGAACACCGCAGTACCATTTTTTCTGAGAAAGTTTGTGGGTATGACTATCTTTGAGTAGATTCCATAAATTCATTTTAATTCTGCTGCAAAGGTGATGCACAAACAAAAGCTTAAATCTGCTCTATTCCGTATTTTTACATCAACAATGGATCAAATAACCTGTGTAATATAAAAGCTTTCATTCATAGTGGCAAACACAAAGAGCAATATCACATACCACTACCACTCCCCTCTATGGACCCTTGAAGCATTGTTCATCTTAGTTATTGTTGTTATTATAAAATTCTTATCTTATTTGTTATCAAATGAATTCTGCTGTCAAACATTTTTGCCTCGTCCTAAGACCACTTTAAAATCAAACTTTTCAACATACTCTTGCTCACCATCCTGAAGTTTTGTCAGTGCAGCCAGTTTTACTTCAACTGAGGGGTGAAAAATAAATTATTCCAGATTTAAGTCAAATTACATTGTTGATGACGTGTTCTGTTGTCATAATTGTAATCAGTGAATTTACACTGACATAGAAAGAATAGATTTGATAGTATAGATGAATAAAATATAATTCTTTGTGTCTCCAGGCTGTCAGGCTGTCTGATCACAGAGGAAGGCTGTGCTTCTCTGGCCTCAGCTCTGAGGTCCAACCCCTCCCATCTTAGAGAGCTGGACCTGAGCTACAATCATCCAGGAAACACAGGGGTAAAGCAGCTATCTACTGGACTGGAGGATCCACACCGGAGATTGGAAACTCTCAGGTATGAACAGACAACAAGAGCTCTGGTTTTCTGTCACACTGATACCCCGAAGGCTGTTGCTTCACAGTCACAACCAGCAGCCCTGTTAATAATAGTGATGACAGTATTGATATGCTCAGCGCTCAATTAAGTGCTTTTGGTAGCCATCCACAAGCTCCTGGCAATTGTCTGGTTAAATCTTTGACCACTTCTTTTTACAGACTTGGTGAAGTTGAGGAAAATTTGTGGCTTTCTGACGTACTTGTTTCTTCAGCACAGTTCACATGTTCTTGATGGGGTTTCAGTCAGGACTCTGGGTCATTTTAATACCTTAATTCTAGCCTGATTTATTTGTCCTATTGAAACACCCAACTGCGTCGAGATCCAACCTTCTTGCTGGATGATTTTGGGTTTTTTGCCGAAGAATTTGGAGGTAGTCTGCATTCTTCATTATTCCATTCACTTTCTGTAAAGAACCAGTTCACCAGAAAGATCTGTGTCACGATCGGCTGAAGTCTTTTGTCTATTTTTGGATGCCTTTTTGACCTTTTTATTATCATCTTCTTGTTGTTTTATTTAAAATATTTTATGTATAGTTAATTGAGTGTATGAAGTGTTTTTTTAAAAATGCAGATGTTTTATCTTGTGAAGGTTTTTCAAGACCACTGATGTGGAAGCTTCTGAAGGTTCATTCTGACTTTGTTTCTTCCTCCAGGGTGGAACATGCTGGAGAGCAGTGGCTGAAACCTGGTCTGAGGAAGTGTAAGTCTGCGTTTACTTTGACTCATGAAAACATGGCAGCACATGTTAAAGTAGTTTAAATCAAAAGCTCACTTTGATAGAAGATCCAAAAAAACAAGTCATTCTGAAGGTTTGCTCTAATGAACATTCACTTCATTAGTAAAGTAACAATAAACCCATCAGGTGGGATAGATGATAAACTGCGGCTGTATTGTGTCTCTTTCTCTCCATCAGATTTTTGTGAACTCACACTGGACACAAACACAGTAAACAGATACTTGAAACTGTCTGACAACAACAGGGAGGTGACGGCAGTGACAGAGGAGCAGCCATATCCTCCTCATCCAGAGAGGTTTGAATGTCCACAGCTGCTGTGTAGAGATGGTCTCACTGGTCGCTGTTACTGGGAGGTCGAGTGGAGAGGAAGGGTTTATATATCAGTGACTTACAGAGGAATCAAAAGAAGTGGAGGCAGTGATGACTGCAGGTTTGGACGGAATAATCAGTCCTGGAGTCTGAGGTGCTCTGATGTTGATGGTTACTCTGCCTGGCACAATAATGGAAGAACAGTCCTCTCCTCCTCTGTCTCTAACAGAGTAGCAGTGTATGTGGACTGTCCTGCTGGCACTCTGTCCTTTTACAGTGTCTCCTCTGGCACACTGATCCACCTCCACACCTTCAGCACCACATTCACTGAACCTCTGTATGCTGGGTTTGAGTTTGGGTTGTGGCCTGATTCATTTATGTCTCTGTGTTCACTGTAAGAGGGAGAGTCTCCTCCTGTGTAGAGAAACACTCACACTGCTGAAAACACACACACACACACACAATCTTTGTGTAAGTCATACTAACTCAAAATATCTGGACTGTATATGGACCAGAAGTAATCAGCTTAATAGATGTGCTGAGATTGTGAGCCACCCGCTGGAAGGATAACAGGTATGAGGCGTGAAGTGATAAAAGAATAGGCAGTTAGGAAGCGGAAGGTTAAGTCGAAAAGATGAGATTTGGGTTTTGATTTAAAGACAGTCAGACTGTGTAATGTTAGCAGATTATGCCAGAGAAAATGGGCACGATAGGAAAAGGCAGCCAGCTGACTTCTGATAACCTCTGGGGTCAGACAGACAGGCCTGTATTCTGAGCACAGGATGAGATATAAGGAGACAGGTATGAAGGGGCAGGCCCATTTAATATTTTGTGAGTCATCAGAAGCACAGAGGTTGATCTTACATGAATAGGCAGCCAATGGAGGTAAGGTGGAATTGGTCAGATTTTTGTAGCTTAGTTGAGATACGAGCTGCAGCATTCTGAACCATTAGAAAACTTTTAGTCAAGTCTGTAATACGATATTTTTTGAGCAGGTCATTTTCATATTTCAAAAGCAGGATGTCTTACAAAGCATTGTTTATTGAACCCCGGCCATTGAGACTGGCAACGGCATACAACATTAGGAAAAGGTCTTGGTGATGTCTTGAATGTGCTGACCACAGAGAGGAAAGGATTGAACACAACAGAGATTCTGGGCTGTCAAACTTTTAAGACATCACACCGGTTTTGTAAGTCACTGTTGCTTAATCAAACTTATGTTTATGTCGAGTAGGGCCACGACAGATGAGCAAAGGGGTTTGTGTGCTTTTAGAGAGGTGTATGCAGGTGTGCCTTCACTAAATACAATGATGAAAATATCAGCTGCTGGCCTGCTCTGAGCAGTGAAGTTGCATTGATGTTATTGGCTACATATGACAATGGATCGGAGACACAAGACAGCTGTTAATATTTTAACTTGTACATAATCAGTATTTTGTATACTCAAAACCAGAAGGTTTATTCCTTATGTATTTATTCAGAAATGTATAAAACCTCCCATTTACAAAGGCCTTGTCTCATCATCCAAATAAATAAATGTTTTAAAAACACATTCCTTTTCTTTTGCTTTTCCTTCAAGTTAAAGTTATCTTCCAAGGTGATGTTAATATAATAATTCATCGTATATTCTGTGAAATACTATATAATATTTGATTGCTGTACTTTTACCTTGTAATGACTATTTGTATTGTTGTATTTTTACAGTGTAAAGTAAAATCATGTAATTAATGTGTTCCTTTACAAAACCTGCGTCAGATTTAAATAGTACAGCTGCTGCATGCTGGTTACATATCAAACATATCAGATCAAACAATGAATGGAATACAGAAAGATTAGAATCAGAACAGATGTTTATATTGTGGCAGCAGAAAATCCTTTACCCATATGTGTTCAATCTATTAGATCTATTGTAGAAGGGAGTAGGTAGATTTATTTGTGACATTACAACAGGCTGTAAAATGAAACTGAGTTTGTAACTCCCATCTGCTACGTATGAGACAATAAACAGTAAAACAAAGCAATTATAAAATGGAACAGAAACAGAAATAAACTATTCTATAGAGCAGTGCTGAGAATTTGAGTTTAAAAGTCTGATAGCTTGGGGAAAAGGCTGCTCTGCGTATGGTGTTGCAGCAGCAGAAACTTCTATGCACATGAATCACTATATCTCATATACTTGTATATAAGTACTTGTACTTAGTCTATCATATTATGTTGTCCATCATTTAGGCTGTGTGTGGTCTGTAATGTCTAGTCATAGTGTGGGAAAGGAGCCTCTGTTTCCTAAACACAGGTGACACTAAGTTAAATTGTGAGACGCTCCTTTCTTGGGGCCAAACGTTAGAAACTGCCCTAGGTGGCAGACCTCTGGTCCAGTTGATTTGTTTATGTTCTTCTGTTTTTTTAATAAATCCACCAAAAGGCAATGATATGTTGTAATTCAGTAATCTTCTGGTCACTTTAATGCATCTTAATGTTAAAATATTTTGAGATTTTCATATTTTTGGATCTTCGTTCAAACTGAAAAACTGTCATATTGACAGTGAATCAATCATTTAATATATGCTAAAGAATTAATTTACATTTCAAGACATTTTCAATAATATTCTTAATTTTATTTAAATTAAATTCAGCGGGATCCTTTTTTAATTGTTGCTCCCCCAATATTCTTAATGACTGATAAGAATTCAATCCGTTTGATGTGACGGGCTTCAGCAACTGTCTGATGCTTCTGCAGAAACAGTTCATCATTCATTGTAAAACATCTTCATGTAATGAAGTAACCGGTTAAACTGCATGAGTGCCTCTTTTATTTAAATGCAGGAACATTAACACAAAGTAAGTTAGAAGTGAATTGACTGTAAACTACATCTGTTTAGCTACATTGTCTCAGACATTTTCAGGTTAATGTCCTGTAAAAAAAATCATGAAAAACATTAAGAAATCCAGATTTTATATTAATATGAATTCAAGATGTTACTTTGAGTGCAACTCGCCAAATTCACATGAAAATCAGAAATGAATGTCTATACAGCTAGTTAGGGTGTCTGTGTTTCCCTGTGCGTTTTTCCTTTTTCCTCCTCTTAAAGGTGTTTTTGTAGTTGGATTGGGTGGTGATGGATTGCTGTTTGCTCCATAGAGCTGCCTAAGAGCTTCGTAAAAAAGCTCTTGATAAAAGCCTGCTCTCTTCCTCCTAATAACTATCATTATACATTCCTCTCTCACTTCTGGTATTGTTCCCCCATCTCTAAAATCAGCTGCAATAACTCCTACACTTAGGAACCTGGTGCAGACCCCAGCAATTTCAGCCTTTGACACCATCTCTCACATCATCCT